AACAACAACAACAACAACAACAACAACAACAACAACAACAACAACAACAACAACAACAAGATGTTCATTATAAAGCGGTTGAAGAGCGTGAATTTCGAAACCTAAAAGAAACTACCTATTTTACTGACGCAAGCGGTGTGTTAGCGGTTTGGTAGAGCTGTTTTACTCTGTCCTGTTCATACCAACCTACGATGGCTGTTAAGCACCGGACAGACAAGCTGCAAAAATCACTTTACACTCAACATTTCTCTTAAGTTCAAGCGTACTCCGATACTCATATGAAAATGTGGCAGCTACGATAAGACGCACTAATCATGTATTTTACTTGTATGGGATGCAACAAGACAATTCACTGTATATCATTACAATTCATGAAGTATGCTAGCGCTATTTCTTACCCCTGACTTTTACTAAGCGCCGATCTGTCCCTGTTAGTTTGAACAGTCTGTAGTGTTAAAGAATACCGTTGAGACGCTAGCACTGGTTATAAATTTGGGTGCAAACTATCAATGACACGAGTGATTTGTATCCCTCTATTCAGTGTGCACCTCAATGATCATGGTAGTCTCCCCTAATCGAATCCCATTCCCAAACAAGTACCGTTGTTCTACTTAAAAATGAAGCAGTAAGAAGGCTTTAGGGAGTTTTATTTAATGAAATATCGGAGCCATCAGGCAGTGAATGAAAAAGTTGTAAAATTGCATTTAAACAAATTCACTTGAAAGCTGTTATTGCAATGCTGCAATAATATAACAAACAGTCATAGTAAAACCACGCGTTTTAGATCATAGCATTTAATAGGAAAGGGCGATGACGTATAAAAAAGTAACTCATTATTGTGGTGCAATTTACTTCAACTAATCAGCAACCACAGTAGCAATTTTTCATTTTAATTTCTCAGTGCAAGAAAGGCAAGGAAAGGCATACAATAGGTTCAGACTAACTTACAGCGCTTTGCACATATGCCACCCAATTGCCTTCCTCCGTGGGCCGAACAGACGTAAGTAAGAGCCAGAATGCCGTCTCGAGACGAAAACCAACAGAGCTTATGCGACAGGCAGTGCGGACCATGGTCGGGGCGCCGTGCCAGCTCCTGCCCAGAATACAAAAGAATCATTATCCTGCAAATTATTGTCCTTTTTCAGCTAAAAGTCTTAATCTTTACTGAAGACAAAATAATTGGATGTCATAAGTGTGTTTGCAAGTCAAATTATCGACTAAAATACAATGGTTAGAAATGCGTAACATTAGCAATAAGGTACGGGAATGATTGGAGCAGCACAAAGGATAATCCCGTGAGCGAATTGGTTGGCAATTAGGACAAGGGCTTCTTTGGAATATTTCCTAATTTTCGGCCAGTAAGGCACATTTCCACAATTATTTGGCCTTCATCATCTAACTTACCATCAAATTCTGACACTGTTAATACAATCAGAACAAGAGTTCTTATCATTTTTTGGAGGTACACTTGGACAGTTACTAATAGGCTACCATATTGAAAGCACGTGTTTATGGTTTTATAATTTTATGTTTTAGATGTAGGAAGTAGGCGAAATTATAAAATGGCCGATCATGTTATAATAAGTGAATCTGATTCAATACTATGATAAAAGCATTATTAATCTCCTTCCTAATACATTTTAAAGAGGAAATTTTTATCAGAACACGCAGGCCGCAGATGAAGTCTAGGATTCCAACATTAATGTACCTGAAGGTAAGCCTGAGGAGTAAGCATCTCATCCTTTGAACCAAAAGCAATTGATTTCGAGGGGTCGCTGTCGATTGTGACCTTAATTGAAATAGCGGAAGCTGTTTCTATCATGGAACTTAAAAAAGATCAGGTAAGGAAGAGTCGCGTTATTTTTGTTGTAGCGCGCCATAATCACCACCCCGCTCCAACTCGTAAGCCTAAATAACTTCTGCGTGTCGACGATATATACTTTGCCCCAGTTTTGTCTTCCTTTGCATTCAAAGAAGTCTCAGGACGCTACACCATTGAACATTTGCACGCATTGTAATGCATACATATGATGAGTATTATTTCTCGGATTATTTTCCACATTCCTCTTATTCCAAATCCTCATATTACGCAATGTAGATTTAACGCAGTGAATGTAACTAGGAATTTCCGGCTTTACAAAATGAGTTTAACTCGGCCCGAAAGTAGCAAAAGCTAATTTGTTGTCAAATTTGTTATAGGAGATTGGAAGAAGATGCGGTGTGAGGTAGTGGACCTTACCATCAACAAGTGGCTCTAGGAGGGTGAGTACGATGATGAGTAGCTGTGATGATACATAAATAAAAGAGGACGATTTCTGATAATGATGTTCAAAACCACTTGGCGCAACTCAAAAATATGCAAAGAAAACTCATTTTCCAGAATTCGCAATCTTTTGCCTTGTTTAAAAAAACTTGTATTAATTCTAGTCGATTATGGGAGCCCATGCCACGCGATGGCCTCAGCAATCGGGTGGTTACACTCCTTGACCAATCCACACTACATTGTAGCCCAATTCGTCGACTCAAACTATTGGCTCCACACATTCTCGCCTCGCTAGTGCCAACGTATCCCATTATAACAGCCCGGTCCAGCTGGTAGCTGCTAAGACTCCTTTTTTATCTTTCGACCGAAACATAATGGTGATTGTTGCAACACCTAAAAAGTAGATTTCTAGTCGGCTTATTTTTAGCATAAAAACAGCGCGAACTCAGCTGTTTCACATTCTACACTTGGGTGCTATCGCACCGACCGATTCCTGACTTGTGGTAAGCTTAGCTTAAATCTGCTTTTATCATTGGTTCAACGCAGTAGTTGCAAAAAAATAGAAGTAAAATCACCCCACTATTAAAATAAAATAATATAGTAGAACGACTGTTGAATACTCTTTCGAGACGGAGTCCAAAACCCGTTTGTTTTCTGTTTCTGAAATCTGTGAATACAGTGCTTCGAAGGATTCGATCCGCCAACCTTAGAGCGCTTATCTAAAGGGAGAGGAAGAATTAGATGCGTAGCACTCTCTCTCACCGCATGATCAAGCGCTCTAGTTGGATCAAACATCGCATAATGTGAAAGAAAATCGTAGCCAATTATGATGTGCAGACCGCAGATTCTTTTGTTGCCAAGACTTCGCCTTGTTCTCCTTAAACCATATCGACCATTTTCTACAAAAAACACGATTTCGCTAAGAATATCTAAAAAATTGAGAAACCATAAAGAGTAAAACTTCAGTGATTATGTGTGGTCTTTAACTGTACCTTGTTTCAAACGCATAATTATGTAACTTTAAATAAAGCCTGGACGAAATGGATGTCAAAGAACAATAGTGGTAGAAATCCGTGTTTAATTTTGGCAAACACGAAGGAAAGCCCAAGTCAGAATATTCTGAGGAAAAATTCAAAATGCGCCGTTAGTAAGATGAAATAATTTTTATCACATATTTGACATAATATAGAGACAAAAGTGCATGGTATGATCAAAGATATTTATGCGGCATACATAACCGATTTGCTCATTTTAGACTAAAATGAACCCAAGACAAGCACGAAAATAGGTAGTTGGAATACCAATAAGGTGTGATCTAAGATGTTCCAATGAAGATGTCACATTGGGGATGATTAAAGGACTAAAATATTCCGTTAGAGTAAGAAACTTACTAGTTATCCTTTACAATGTCACTCCATTGGTAAATAATGTAGTCGTCCTTAAAAGCGCTACTGTTATAATATTTAAAGGGCTTGTTTTCATTTATATAAGATTCAGGCAAACCTCTAGAGCGTAAATCTGATTTGGTGTGAATATTCTCATTGACAAGCAGTTCTGAGAGGAGATTTGGCAAATTACTTCGGAAGACTTATCATTTTTTAAACTTCCCGAGAAAGTTTGCGGCAGATGAATGGCATTATGTCTCAGTAAACTTGAACCGGAAGCAAAGACATCAAAGGACTTGGTGGACGGAAAGCCACTATGGAGCAGTTCAACACTGAATTGTCTAGCTTTTATAAAAGTGACGAAATAGTTACCTATGAAAAGCATAAAAGGTAATGCTTACACCTTTTAAGTTATAGTGCAATGAAAAGTTCTGAGAGCTCAAAATTTCGAAGTATCGAAGGTTCTCAATCACATCTGACGTAAGTTTATGTAAAGCACTTACATGTAGAATTTAAATCGTAGGCAAAAGAAGCAAAAAATAACGTTAGTAAATGCAATGCTCTCCTAGCGCGGAAACACCTTAACATTGAGGAGGGCTTAGCGGTTAAAGGTCACAGAGAGCAAAAATGTTGTAGTTACTTAATCTCTATAAAATTCCATGCAAATGCTATTGTGAGGAAACTACTTTTGCGGAGTTGCGTAGGATGAGAAGTTTTCCCAATTGAAAATTGAGCAAAATCAAAAGGTCCCCATGAACTCACGTGCAAATACAACAATTTACACTCCAGGCAAATCTAGAGTTGGTAAACAAAATAGACCTCATTCTTAAATATTCTCTAAGTTTAGATTACCACTGGTCAAGCAAACATTGCTTAGGCAGTTCTTAAAGAGCAATTGTCAAAGTGGCACAATTTTGGCCATTATCGTGTGATTCGCCGTGGATCCGAAAACTTAGGGTAGCCGAGTTATTTCTGCATTATTCAGGTTCCTTACTTAACCGGGGAAATTATGAAAGGCATTTAAAATAGTCCAATCTAGTGTATTACGCCTTCTCAAATCGGTGACAATCTATAATTTCAGCAGCGTCTTGAAGAGATGGTAGGTTAGGTCATTAAAATAGGAGTACAGATCGCGGGTGACTGGTCCCACGCAACTAAACATATTTCAGGAATATCAAAGCACTACAGTGTAAAGAGTAATTAATTGGATCGTCCTTGTGAGTCAGCTATGTAGCGTCTCGGGACTCCCTGAGGACGAAATAAGCCACAATACTTGGGCGGAATACATATGTTCAGCTCAGAGAAGGTGTCTGGGCTATTGGCATGGCCCAAAAGGCCACCCCACCCAGTGAGGTACAAGGGGGGTAACTCAGAGTACAAAAGTGGTGCTTTACCAATGCCGAGGGATAAACCACCATCGTATTACAGTTAGGATGTGATTATCAGTACCCACCCATATGCTGGGAAATTTCTTTAATGGATAATTATAAAATCACTTATTGTTGGGTGTGATGATACTTCTGATTCACGTGCCTATGTGAAATGCGAATGGTTTAGGGGGTTTAAAGACGGTGGCTTTACAACTCCAGCACGACAAAGCAATTGTAACCAAATGATCGTAGCCTAAACTAAAATATTTTTAAGGCTTTGACAATTTATTTGAGCGTTTTTTTAACTTATGAATGCTGCGAACAAAATACCAATTCTCTTTATTGTTACTCTTCGCATAAAAAGGCATTACGGTGCTTGTTGATAGCTTAACTTTCAATGTCTTAAAAATAACTTTGCATGTGTCTAATTAATGAAATCTTTCGGTCATCAGGCCATCGTATATCATTTCTTTATTTATTGACGCGGTGGTTTCAAGACTGGGTGCAATTGCCCTTCTGCATCAATTGGGTTGCTTTCATTTTCCTGGTAATTTCTATTTTTTTGCTTGTCTTCGCTTTCCTGTTTTCGATTTTTGTTCGTCGATAATAAAGTTTGCAGGTGTCGGTTCTTTCAGTTCGTTTCCATCCATTTTAGAATACGAATAACTTTATTTGGTTAATTCTGGTTGAATTGTGGGAGCTATGTTTGCAATCGTGTTCTCTCGACTACCTATCATGATCTATTGTAAATGTGTCCTCTCGCGAAATTTACGCTCGTTTCACGGCTTACAATGAAGTGTGTTGTGGTCCCAATTATTTCTTGTCCTTCTTTTGTTTTCGTAACTGTTGTATTACTCTGATATGCATTCTGATCTTCACAGTGACACTTATTGTTGCCAGATGTTGGGTTTCACGGCACCTTTTGTTTCCTGTGGACGTATTCAGAATCCTTGATGCATCCGTATAAACTTAAAATGATGTGTTACTCCTATTAAATGATTAAACCCAGGATAATTAGCTTAATTACCTATTCACTGAATTTGATAATTCAATTACCTAACTTCTGATATATTCTTTATCATTTGTGTCCATCGTACACACGTGTGTCACTTGCCTGCATTACTCATTCGTCGACGATGACATCGCTCTAACTTCAAGTGCCTTTGAATCCGGATCGCACTAGAGTTGCGGACCTTCTGTGGTGAGCGTCTGTCCCACTCATGGAGTCAGACCAAGCCAAAATACATAACGAAAACGGCCAAGACGGTGTTGCTGTTGCGACCCCCCAACATAGGGCCCCGTCAAACAACCGACATGTGCGTTTCCCTGAGGACGATTCAATTATCCTCGGCTGTCTGGAGCCCTTTCATCCAAGTAAGTCATCAGTTTGTTTTTATTCCGTGAGTAAATCGACCTGTTTCGAACTCACTTACATCGAAAAGCTTAGTACTTGTCAGATCCTAACATGGTGGGATTTACAATTTTGAGGTAACTACCTGTTAAAACATTTTGTTTCTTTGTGCGCTCATAGTGCAGCACTAATTGGCTTTTTTTCCCTTTATTAAGCTCCCGACAATTGCACAAGTGATGAACTAATTGCTGCCTACATCGCTTCATGTAAACTCTACAAGACGCCTACTGTGGATTTTCTGCTGGAACAACTGAGGGTGAGTTATTTTGGGCAAAAAATACGTATGCTTTGAATTTTCTTGGCTTGGGTTCCCAGTGTGAGGTAGATGTCTGTGCTTTCTCAAAAAGCTTTTATTTCACTCAAACTCATCACACTGCATGTTCATTTCGATAAAATTGGTGCTAATTCAATTGCCTTATTGCCATGTAAATTGTCTCTGATTTTTTAAAGAATTAGAGATTTCCTATCCATTTAGAGTGCATCTTTTGAGCATGTACTTACAGCTTCCCTACATACCCATGCATTTGCCTGCATGCTGTTCCGCTCCTCCAGTTATCTAAGGTGCGACGCTGCCAAGTGCAGCGAGACTGAATGTTGTGTTCTTTTCTCCAGCAATTCACAAAAAATGGCTTTTTTGCAGTGACAGTGGTGGGCGCTTGTGCTTTTGATCATGGTTGAGGCTCCTTTTCCTCCTGATGTTGTTTTAAGTTTTATTTGACCTCTACCTATGCTTCCATTCTTCAATTCATTTTCTTTTAAGTCTTGTTTGGAAGCACTTTTGAAATTTCCGACCCCTTTTTAGTGCTTGCACAATTTGTCTTCTTAAAGTACGTTATTCTCTTAATAAAAGCCGCTTTGGAGGGTTAACGTCTGCCATTTACATGGATTGTTCCAGGGTATTTGCTTTAGAACGCTTTGCTGTTTTTTTTTTGTAGGGAATCGATCTTTCCATTTGCAATGAGCGCTATAGTCGACTCTACCTACGGGGTGTGTGGATGCGTATGACCACTACTGGTCCCTCAACTCTTTATCATTAGTACCTTTGTTTCCGTGTTACGTTCCACCTCCATTTTTACTATCTGTGAATGCTTTAAACATCAGTATCGTAAGACTTAGCTCCAAGTTCATGTATTTTAATGACTAGTTTAGCTTCATATTCTGAGTCGAAAACAAGTTTCGAATGGACCCAACTGATTTTATTTATGTAAATATCTCCAACGCTGTTGTTTTTTTGATTTGTTTCAGGTATAAAACTCACTCGCTTTCAAATTGAGACCCTTGAGGAGGTGTTTCGAAGGGTCCACTTTCAGGAGGTTGATCTGGAGGACACTTTTCTCGACGAAGCCGTAAGTTCCTTTCGCTCACCCATGTATTTCTTTTTTTAGTCTATATTATTTATCGGAATTATTCTACTTTAACCGGTCTGGTAAATTCCAAGCTTGCTTTTCTTCTTTCGCCATTTTAGTCGGCTACAGCATTGTTTGATATGATGCTGCACTACGAGACTTGCGTGGATCTGTCCATTTCTTTAAACCTGGAAAAAGTTGGTCCCAGCATCGCTTGGCCCCGGTGTATAACGTATCTCCGCAAGGTAATTATTCTCAAACCACGTATTCCACCATGGCCGGTATCTATTTATGGGCCGAACTTTGCGCAAATTCTGCCATTCGGTACAACGGTTTGGTAATTTTGTCTGAACCACAGTTGAATTTTTCAATCTTTTAGCTTGTTAAGATTTGTTATGTGAAGCCTTAAACCAGAAAAGGGGACCCGATACCCCGCCACATGCAGTCGGTTTTTTTGTCGTTCAAACACTGCACAATAGCTGAATTTACTATTTCATCGAACCAACATTCGTTAATCAGCTTCAATGCATCTCATCAGTCGTTGGGAAGCTTGTGGTTAGGCTACGACAGACTTGTGCATTGGGTTCACTTAGACTGCATTATTTGTCTTACTTTCTCCCGAAATGACAGCCGAACTTATTTGTACCAAAAATTCTGACAGCCTCAATTGCCGTAGTAGTGGAATGGATTAACGAACTTGCTCAAATAGCGGCAAAATCGTATTTTAGTTGAAGTTAATCCTAATCGTACCTATCATATAACACTTCCAAACAAAATCCCACAGTGTTAACGAGTTTGAGGTACACTTTCTGGGTGGGCCTGAAGTAGATTTTTGGTGGTTTGTATTGCTTAGGGAGAAGTTAACCAGTTGGATAGTAGTGGATTGTTTGTTATATTATAAACTTTTTTGTCACAAACTAAAACCTTGCGTATTTGTACCACTTGCGTGAATCCAGGTTTTCTTTCCGTTTCCATAGGATCCTTTTCTTTCAAAAGTCATTTTCCATAAATATATCACGCGTTTAACACCGTATACTATGCGATGAAATATTGCAGTTAGGTGTTAGCGTGAATGCTGTTTTATAATGCTTCGACAAAAATTGCCGGACTTCTGCATGGTTTGCGTGATGTATTCCTTTGCAGTCTCACGTTAGCGTTAATGTGGCCGTATGTGCTCGATTGTTTGCGCATTTGCGATTCTAAGCAAGTTTGACCATCTTTTAAAATAATGTGGACTAGAAAATTAAAGTTTTAAAACCTTCTGTGCTTCCTATTGCAAGTTTGGTGGTAGATTTCGCACTTGCTATAACGACACCGGCCACTATCATTTGTTTTGTCATTTGTGAGGAAATCAGATCCTGCTAGATTGTACAACGACCGTATTTAACCATCTAATTGACAAATCCTGATTTAACCTCAAAATCTTGCTGTTCATAAATTTGGCCCAAATGGTTCTATATTGTTCATTTCATTTTGTTATAATTATGCTATTCATATGCAGGAGAAGTTGGAGGCGTTTACACCCAATCAAGTCATTCTGCAGACAGCATGGCGGGTTTTAGATGGACTCAATAAATGTTGTTGGTTATTTAAATAGTTTTGTGGTTTTTTTTTCGTCACAAGATTCCAATTGCATAAGAATTTCGCCTCGAAGGGACTATTTCATACATCTTTTAAGCTTTTTTTAAGCAAAACTAATTCCTCTTTCTCCCATTGATCGCGATTTCCTGATAAGCATTTAATCTATAATTTAATACTTCTGAAATATTCTATAGTTTTAAAAACGCTTATGCAGATTATAGAACAATGACGGGAAACTTCACTGAAGATGTATTTTTTATCGTATCAAACTGGAGGAATGCCTCTTCTTTGGTTTAGGTGATTATAATTTTCCAACACAACGATTAGCAATATTTCCCAGGTGAAATTTAACACGTTAATTACTAGGGTTTCGGTGAAGATTTGATCGTCGTAACTCCAATGCCTTTTTTTCTAATATGGCATCAATAGTTTTTATTTTATTAGTCATTTGTGAGGCACGAGCTTAAGGAAATCTTTTCATCTGGTAGCGAACTTATCAAAGAGCGAAAACAGGTAGCATCGTTTATCAACCCATTATTTGTTTTACTTTTACAACACCGACCGTATTCTCATCCACCTCTCAACTATTTTTAGTCCGCCGCCCTGCAGGGCTTCAAATTATCGCACACACCACTTGCAACAAACCTTTTCAGTGGACTCTCGCTCTCAGGTCTTTCACTAAAGAGCCTCACCTTCCGTGACTGTGCTCTTACTGGTCCCCCGCTGCACTGTCTCCTCCGTCTGCTGCGATACCTCATGACCTACACCGGCAGTAGCAGTGACAGTGGTCCGTCTAAAGCCTCCGCTGGCGCCAATGGAAGTCGCTACCCGCGGCCTTCCTACCGCGGACCCATGGCCCCGATGCCGTGGGGTCTGAGCCTGCATCTGCCCGAGAATCGGATCCACGGGATCGATGCAGAGAGTCTCCTGCTTCTTGTCCGCCACCAACTTGTTCTTCTTCCGGGTCCGCCTACCCCACCTACTTCCGTTGACTCGACCACCGCCTCTGCATGTATCAATAGACCCACTGGCGGCTCAGGTTACCTAGAGGAGCTCGATTTGTCCCATAACTCCCTCAGAGTGAGTGTCGATTGTGTAGTATCAAAGTTAATCTTGATGAAATCATGGGAGATATAAGTTTAGAATTAGTTTGTAAAAGTATACGATGGTTTTAGCTGGTAAGTTGCATGATTTGGATATAATTGGTCTAATTTTTGCCAAAACTGACCTGAGTTGCTGTTATATATTGACAGGAGTCGTGCAACGATCTAAATAATTAAAATTGCGTTATATTCAGCATGAATTCCCCATGTTTTTAAGGACAGCTTACGAAAGCATCTTTATTGGCCTTTTATTGAATCAGTCCTTAGGCGACTCTCTCATAGGTTGGATTAAGGATAGTTAAAAAGCTAGTAATTGGAAACTGAGCCCTATTAGTTAGTTTTTTGCTTGAGTAGAAGCACACTTGCACCTAAGCAGTTACAGTTTGAATTAATACAGGCTAAATAACTTTCGTAATTTTCATGGGAATCGGCGTTTTGAGGATTTATCCGATGATGAACTTGTTCTATCTGACCCTTCATTATATCCCACGTCTTCCGATTGTACATTTCTCCAATTTATGTTGCCTTTGGATAAGCTAACGTCTCTATAGCTGAGTTAAATATGGAAATAACCCTTTCAATAGAAGAGCTACAGCTTTTACTGCTTTGCTAATGACTTTTCCCTTTCTTATCAGGTGGAATCGTTAACCTCTTTCATTTGCGCAACGACTTCTTCAATCTTTCATGTCTTGACAAATTTAAACGTTTCCTCCGAGGCGTCAAGTGTTCCCTTTAGTAATTTTCAATGATCCATTTGAAGAATTATTTCTTTTTGAAGCTTGACAACTCCGAGCTTAGGAGAAGGTATGAAGTAATATTGGGCTGCAGATACGCTTTTTATTGCATCGTCAAAGCGTGTGAACTTACCTGACAATCATTCCAAATGTACCTCTGTCATTGCATTTATTAGTGCCAATAAACATTAGCTATTGCAATCCTCTTAGACTACACGCTATTAAAAAAGGGCTTCACTTTACGTTCTCAATTGTGAATAAGGTTTTCACAAATAGCAAAACAAATGGATTTAAGCTCATGAAAATTCAGTCAAGATGCGGAGCGTTCTTATTCATTCTTTAAGAAATAGAAACATTTAGGGTGGCTAAGAATTGCTAATTTTGCGGGGTTTTTGTTGTCTCGGTTTTGATTCACCCAATCCCTCGCAAAGGCGGTGTCACCCTTCTGATGTCGAATTCAGCCATGCAACGCTTACTGTTCGTGAAATTGTAGATACAGCTTGTGATAAAGATCGTTAAACCGCTCAATGCATATTCACATGTCGCAACTCCAAATAATGGACCAAAAGATCTGGTGAACTGGTAAAAATAGTGCTAAATAATTCCTGATTTGAATGGAATTTTGGGTCCGTTTAGATTATTGCTTTTGTGATAAGCCTGTGTCGTTTTTTTCTCATAGATTTTAGAGCGTCTTCATCAGCTGGGCAAGGCAACCTTTTAGTGATGCGAAAAAAATTTCCCCATAGTTAATCACAGGAGTTTCACCTTATTAGCTACGAAGTACATCTTCGCCAGTATCCAATGTTTTCAAATAATAGGTTAAGTCAATTCATTACCATTGCGTTTTCACAAAGTCAATGGTTGCCATTTAAACTTTTTGGCTGCTGAGCCCATCCGATTTAAATTTATTGCAGGCCAAAGATGTTAGGGGAGTGAGTGACATAATTGTAATCCGCAACGATAGTTTCTTGGTTAAAGTAAACGTATGTCGAGACTGGATAGTATGCCAATGTGACGCGATCCCATTCTTGTTGGTAACCTTCAATATTTGCATTTCACTGTTTTATGAATTTCGATCAAGTCGTCAATATTAAGTAAATTGTTGGCCAAGACAGCTTGCACTGTCTATTTCAAAATCGACTTATTATCTCTTTGAGGGGCGCGGGAAGGTGAGCGGATAATTTGGAATGGCCTTTTTCATAATAGCTCCAAAACAATTTGAACTCCAAATAAAGTTCGATTCTCTGAGTAACTAGTTTTATTCATTAGAGACAGCTATTTATTGGTGCATATTGGCATTTACTTTGGTAGATTTACAAAATAAAAATCTATCAAAATCAATTCTAACAAGAGTTTATCGCACTTCATCGTGTTTATATTTCAAGATATATCGCAACTTAATCACTATCTCAGAGATCATCGCTTCCTATTTCTCTGGTACCACTTTCAAAATGATTTTTATTGATTGGACGAACAAGAAACTATTTATTTGAAAACAAAAAACATCTGCGCCTTGTAGGACGAGGGCGTGCAGGTATTGTGCTCTGGTCTACTTCAAGCCTACGAACTGCAACGTCGTCGTTTGGATGTCGCCCTAGCAGCAATCGCCCAAGCCACCTCCACCTCTGGTGCCTCTCTCACCACTCCTGCCATGCTACCGCCTAAGTATGCACTGCCACAGGCACGTGGACTGCAGCGCCTCAACTTGGCGGACAACGGGCTTGGTGGTGGAAGAGCAGGGCGCCACTTGGCAGCAGTATTGAGTTGCTCTACCGAGCGTCTTGCACCCCTCCTCGGCGGACTTACCTATCTTGATCTCAGCGACAACCCGAGCTTTGGGAACGTCGGTATGATCGATCTCTGCGACGGACTCGTTCGCAACTTCACTCTTCGTGAACTGTATCTGCGCAATGTGCGCATCGAATTTGATGGTGGGTTACTTTCATACGCACCTCTTGGTCCGAACTAAATTGCCTAGGCGAGCAGATGGATAGATTGGAAAATACACCTAGTGGCAGTTGTCGCCGTTTCCATCTTAAAACACTTTGAATGCCTCGCTTTGTATTGTGTCAATTGGATGATCAGTGGGGGGGATCAATGTTACGTCTTTTTTTCTAGGCCTAAATTGGATAGTCTAGGAAGGCAAGTTGCTAAATTTAAAGCTATGTTTAATGTTGGCCTGATTCCCTCAGCTCTCTTCGTCTGGAAACTTTTTGTATGCGAATTTGACCACGAATTTGTTGAGCTAATATTGTCTACTTTGTGGGGAGGATATTGAAACCTTCTCTTAGTAGTAAGCGAGTTAAGTGTGCTCTTTTATACACAATTTAAAATGAGGTACCACAAAATTCACTTAGTTCTTTAAAAACGGACGTTTATAACACGTCAGTGCATAGTTTACTGAAAAACCTATATTGTTGATAAACTGTATAAATTAGTCTATATTTTTTTTCTCGAAAAGCGGAAATCAATCGTAATGGGTCATTAGCTGGTCCATCACCTTAGAAGTAGACTAGTTATTTCCCATGTTACTATTTTTGTTACGTCTTTTAACTTGCTGTTCGGTGTGGATAGTGACCAGCCACATACCGAATTGCGGTCATTTTCATTCCCATTCTTGTGACCGAATTGAATTGCTAGCTTATCTGTGACCTGAATCAATCTCAGCTCTCGTCCATTTGTTTACTGGGGTGTTGTTATACTTACCACGCGTTTTACGTTGTAACCTGCCGTCAATTTCATCTTAGCAGAAGAGTGCACGAGTTTTTGCACATCGAGCAATTTCTGCTTCTTATTACCCACGACCACCTCTCCCTAGGATTATCATCACTTTTTCTCTTGATTATACTCCTATTCTAATAGAAACTAATTTATTTCAGTTTTGATGCACATAAATATCCAATGCCACATTTCGAGTTATTTTTTGCTCGCAACCGACTCAATTTATAATCATATCATTCCCTCATGTAATGTTTTGCGGAATCAAAGAAGTGCGTAATAAAGTGTATAGGGTTACTCCGTAGTCAGGTCATTTCTACTTAAATGATTTCGGCAGTTTTGCTTATCTATGATGTTATGCAATCGCTTTTTGATAGGGCCCTTCATTTTGCTTAGGGTTGGTCGATTTTTTCCAACTATTTAACTCAGTTACATTTTATTGAGGCTGTGGATGCGTAACTTAGGAAATAAGTATGAAAACACGAGTTTATACTTATAACAATATCAGTTGTTTTCTGATTATTTATTTTGGTTTTGACAAAAGCTGGAGAATGATAGTTTTCAGTTGTATTTTCTTCGAGCTTTCTCTGCTTGCTCATGCTGGAAGTAATCACCTTTTGGAACATAACCAGGTTAAAGACTGATTGATGTTCAGTTTTCGGCTTTATTTTCACATTTGACCATCTAGCATGATATTTAAGAGAATTCCGAATTAAAGGTGTATCAATTCAGTTTTATTTGTGGGATGGCTATAGTACTGAGTCCATTTTGCTTATGGATATAACTCATGAAGAATAATAATTGGGAGATACTTCAGTGGTAATCTGTTTAACTAATGCCTCGTACTATAGGCAGCTCTCTATTTTACGTAGATTATCAAACCACTTTTGTGAGAATGTTTATAGTGCCTCGAACTATCCCCGTGTTTTAATCGTCAGGCGTATTCGCTCTTTCTGGATACATTGGCGAAACAAAATCTCTTGTTCACCTGGACATTCGGCAAAACACCGTTGACATAGCTGGAATGATGGCGCTGACACGGACCCTCAAGATCAACGGCTCCCTCACTGCCCTCCTTCTGGACGCCCGTCGTCACACCTCACCCTTGAATGAGGTAACTTTTGATGAGATTGGCCAAAACCGTTTTGGGTGCCATTACGTATCAGCTGCTTGAAAATATTTTGGGTTTTGAGTAAATCAAATCTCATAGATTGTTTGAAAACTTGGTTTGACTCTTGATGTCACCAACCAGCGCTCTTTACTATCTGTCTGTATGTAGGACTGCGACATGGCGCAAATTCTTCTTCAAGAGCTAGATGAATACCTTCGCAGGAACCGCAACAGTCAAGTCGCACCGCCAAGTGTCACGCTTTCAGTAGAGTGCGAAACCTTCTCTCCAAAGGTTCAAACTGCCATTGAGCGTGTGTCCTACTACACGCGTGCCTTGAGGATATGAACAACCCTGAGGAGGCGGAAATCAAGG